CAAGAAAAAAAGAAATGGGCTTTCAACAGCTGTTGTAGGGAAGGAAAGCAGCTGGCAGAACAGTCTCCTTTCTTGGACAGGCCACTGCACCAGGTCCTGCAGGGGGCTGGGGGGTCTCACTCAGCATCCTGACCCTTGAGAGGTAGCCTCTCCACCTCTGCCCTTCCCCAGCATGTGCTGTGGGGGGACACTCATGCTGGCAGAGCCCCAGCTCATTGACCGGGTGGCTGGCTCCATGGGGTCAGTGGGAGGGTCAGAGGTCCCTTCTCCCGGCAGTCAGCTCCCAGGGCAAAACTCTCCAGAGTTGCAAGCAGTAATGGCCCGTTCAGCTCAGCACCTCCTGGGGGCCAGGCGCCAGGTATGGGGGTGCAGACCTTCCCTTCAGGGACGATGGGCGCCGGGATCTGCAGAGACTTTCAGGAGGAGATCACTGGACCGTGTCTTAAAGGGAGAGAGTCAAACGAGGCAGCAACAGCTGTGAGGGGGATGGGGGTGCAGAGGGCGGCTGGGGACCTCAGGAGAGACCAGACATTGAGGAAGAAAGAGCTGGACTGTCCTGAGGGCATGGGAAGTCACAGAGTGGTTTCAGCAGGAAAGTGACATGAAAGAGCCACCCTGGTTCCTGGTTGCAGAAAGGACCCAGGGGAAAGGTGTAGGCAGTTATACCAGGGGCCCAGCGCGGACTTGAGGGCAGCTTGGCCTGGAGGATGGTGGATGCGGGAGGGGTGGCAGTACTGTGAGGTGTTAGAGGGAGGGGCCTTGGTGACGGAGTGGCTGTCAGTGCTGGGATTTTATTCTCCGGAGCCAGTCTTTGTCCTGGGGCCATCAGGCACTGTCACACAGAGATATTTCTGGGAGAGGCAGGGGCGGACTGAGGGGACCGAGTAGCCCTGTCCATTTTTTTTTTTTTTTTTTTGAGACAGAGTCTTGCTTTGTTGCCCAGGCTGGAGTGAGTGCCATGGCGTCAGCCTAGCTCACAGCAACCTCAATCTCCTGGGCTCAAACGATCCTATTGCCTCAGCCTCCCGAGTAGCTGGGACTACAGGCATGCACCACCATGCCCGGCTAATTTTTTCTATATATATTAGTTGGCCAATTAATTTCTTTCTATTTATAGTAGAGACGAGGCCTTGCTCTTGCTCAGGCTGGTTTCGAACTCCTGACCTTGAGCAATCCGCCTGCCTCGGCCTCCCAGAGAGCTAGGATTACAGGCATGAGCCACCACGCCCGGCCGGCCCTGTCCATTTTGAGTGCTGAGGGTCCCCCAGCACTTGGCTCCCAGAAGCCTGGTGGCAGCTGTCACCCTCCGCTGCAGATTAGAAACTCTCCTCAGGAAAATGGCCCAGCCCCAGAGGAAACGACCCAGAGATGCTGACATCAGGCTTCCCCAGTGAAGTAGCCCAGCCGGAGCATCCTCCTGCAACATGGGCCAGAAAGCCACATCCATACACCCCAGCTTCGAGTCAGCTGCTCGTCTCCCTCCTCTTATGAGAGCAGACATCCAAGGATCACCCCCAGAAACATCCGTTACAAAGAGGAGGTCAAAATGAGCAAAAGCGAAAAAGTCAACTTGGAGAAAACCAAGACAGTGCAAGGAGAAGTGAACTTCCCAAAAACTTCCACTAATATTTCCAGATTGATACGAGAAGTTACTGCACCCAAAAAACAAGAACAGGAAGCAATGAAAAAAAAAAAAGGAGATAGGAGGAGTGAAGATTCTGAGAACAAAAAAGAAGCCTTGGAAATTAAAAACATAAGAGTAAAAATGAAAAGGAAATTTAATAGAAATGTTTGAGGGTAAAGTTCAAGAAAATTCCCTAAAAAAAAGAACAAAGAGATGAAAAATAGGAGAGAGAAGATAAGAAAAATAAAAACCAGGCCAGGCGAGGTGGCTCACGCCTATAGTCCTAGTACCCTGGGGGCCAAGGACGGAGGACTGCTTGGGAGTTTGAGGCCAGCCTGAGCAAAATCGAGACCCTGTTTCTACTAAAAACAGAAAAACTAGCCAGGCATTGTGGCATGCACCTTAGTCTCAGCTACTTGGGAGGCTGAGGCAGGAGGATCACTGGAGCCTAGGAGTTTGAGGTTGCAATGAGCTATGATGACACCACTGCACTCTACCCAGGGTTACAGAGTGAGACTGTCAAAAAAAAAAAAGTCTCTGGGCCCCATCACAGACTCCCTGAGGTTGGGACCTGAGCACCAGCATTTTAGAACTCTCTGAGTCATGCTAAGGTGCAGCCCAGGACGGAACTGCTGTGCCATGGGAAGCGCTTCACCAAAACAAGAGAGAAAACCAAGAAACAGAAAGCCTGGTATCAAGAAACAGGTTCCAATCCCGAACCAGGGCAAGGGAGCGCCCAGGACAACAGTGGGCTGTGGGGACAGAGGGCAGCAGTGGGACTGGAGCACACTGGGAGGCTCTGGGAGCAGCGTCTCCAAGAAGACGCAGCTGGTCAAACACCTGACGTGAATGAGATGTCGAGAGCAGATGTGGGCAGCTGGCAGAGAGTTTGGAATTGAGTTGACAAAGAGGCAGAAAACTAAACAAAAGAGCAAGACAGTTTTTTGCTCCAGGGAAGACCAAAAGTGCGCATGGAAGAGAAAAAGATTCATAGTGTATTTCAAGGTTCAACCCTAAGGAGTAGTATGTGCATGGATGTGTGCACACGAATGCACTCTGGGGTTGTGGCATGGGTAGGAAGGAGAGCTGAGTCACAGATAACACTAGCTCCCAAGCAGCAGCAATATAAGCATGTTATTTAGAGACACAGAGGTAAATGCAAAAGAATTACCTAAAAAATTAAAAGTCATTGCCTTTGGGGATCAGAGGAGGCTGGGCTTCTACCTGTCTTAACACAACTGTAGAAGCAGTTCCCTCTAACCCAGAGAGTCAGCAGACTTTTTCTCTAAAGGGACAGGCAGTAAACATTTCACACAAGATCAGCTACATAATCTGCAAGGCCCAGCGCACAATGAAAATGTGGAGCCTCTTATTCAAGTAGTACAAAGAATTTCAGGATGGTGACACCAAGGGTGGGGCCCTTCGGAGTTCAGGGCCTTGTGTGCACCTGCAAGGTCACATGCCCCTGACGCTGGCCCTGATTTTAGGCTGTTTTAGGCCACATAGACTCTATCACATCTGCTCAAGTCTGCCATTGTAGCAGGAGAACAGTCACTGACAATATGTAAATGAATGAGCCTGGCTGTGTTCCAATAAAGCTTTATTAACAAAAAAGGGTGTTCAAAGTTTTCTGACTCCTGCCTATAAATATGCATAACTAATAAAAATAACACTTAAAAAAATAAATAAAATTATTTCCATGTGGAATAGAAAATGCAGATGAATAACAAGAACATTTTGGACTGGGTGTAGTGGCTCACCCCTGTAATCCTGGCACTCTGGGAGGCCGAGGTGGGCGGATCATTTGAGCTCAGGAGTTCGAGACCAGTCTGAGCAAGAGCGAGACCCCGTGTCTACCAAAAATAGAAAAAATTAGCCGGGCATGGTGGTGCATGCCTGTAGTCCCAGCTACTTGGGAGGCTGAGGCAGGAGGATCACTTGAGCCCAGGAGTCTGAGGTTGCTGTGAGCTAGGCTGACACCACGGCACTCTAGCTGGGGCAACCAAGTGAGACTCTGTCTCAAAAAAAAAAAAAAAAAAAAAGGACATTTTGGAAGACAACTATACTAGGAGTATGGAGTTTCTCTTCTAACTGTCAAGACCAGCTCTAAAGCCAAGTAATGAAAACCATGGGCACTGGCACAGGGTTTGGCAAACCAATCAGCGGGACAGGGACCAGGAAGGGGCCTGTGCATCTCCAAGGGATTAGTAAGTGGGCAGAAGGGCCCACATCAAGATGAGGACGGAAGAAAGGAAGGACTACTCGCTCAACACAGGAGCTCTGGAATCCGGGTGAGAGGCCTGCCTGCACAGACACCTGCTCTGGGCCCCCTAGAAATTCCTGGAACTTGGGCTGAGCCCCAGGGAAAGCACCTCTCTAAACCACCTCTCAGTGGTTCTGAACGGGGCAGTGGGGACTATCCCCAGGTGTATTGTCACGGCTGGGTGGCGGGTGCTAGCCATGACTGGCGTCTAGTGGGTGGGGGCCAAAGATGCTGCCAAACACCCTACAATACACAGGACAGCCCCTGCAGCCCCACGAGGAATTAGCCGGTCCAGAATGTCATTAGTGCCAAGGTTTAAGAAACACTGTCTCCAAAGTTCCACTTCTCACACGCCCTCTGACCTGCTGCAGAGGGCCTGGAAGGCCTGTGGCCCCAGCCCTCCTGGCCTGGTCCAGCCTGCCAGGAGTGACCGGGACTTTCCACCTCCAGCTCCTGGAACTGAAAACTATGCCGCCCACCCTTCCTGCCCAGGAACTTTCTCTTCTGGCCTCCAGAATCTTGGGCTCAAGCAGCCACTATTCTTGCCCGGGCTCTCCTCCCTGGGCAGTCCCTCCCTTGGCACCATGCAGGCTGCTGGGCCAGAAGCCCTGGGAACATTCCTGACCTTTGCTTTGGTTTCCTCCTACCCTTGGCAGCTTCATGCTGGCCCTTGGCGCCCGTGCCCCCGGCCCAACTTGCTGAAGTGCCCATTGTTCTCACCGCCCCTCTGTCCCAGGCCTGCTCCCTTTGTACCCTCCCTTGGGGAGCCCCGCTGGGTGCCCCCATCTCCCAGTGATCTGTGGAGGGGGAGGGCCAGCCCAGAGTTTGGTGTGGTGCGGCTGGGTAGGAAGGGGCTCTCCCACCTGGCTTGGGCCTGCCCTTGGCCCGCCCCAGATGGGACAGTCTGCTGGCCCCTTTGGACCTTCTAACTGGGAGCTGGGAGGCCTGGCTGTCAGCCCTTCTGCTCTCTGAACCCAGGGTGACCTTGAACAGGCCCTTCCCCCAGTTCTGAAAACATGGAGAAGCAGTTAAAAGCACAGGGCGGGGGAGACAGAGGGAGCGTCCTGCAGGGAAGGGCTGTCAGCCCAGCCTTCCGCAAAATGGATGTGGCTGCCCAAGCCATTATGTAAATGGCCCGGAGAGCCTCTTACCGCCAGTAAACCCCCCTCCCGCTGGGCCCACGTGGTCCTGGGAGGGGAGGCCGCACTCTCAGCAGCCAGTTTTCTGAGGCCCTGAATCCAGCCATTAAGGAAACCGTCCCAGGGGAGAAGCTCGCAGGGCTTTGTCCTTGAGCCAGAAAAGGGCCTTGGCAGAGAAGCCTGAGGCCCCCTCAGTGGCCAGCCCAGAGCCGGTTCCCTGAGTGTGGGCCTGAGGGCTCCTCCCTGCCCATGGCCGAGGCCCTGTGCCCCAGAGCAGGAGTGGGTGCAGGAGGAGGTGCAGTGTGGCCCAGAGACCTTGGCCTGGGCTCCGCCCTGCTCCTGTGTGACCTCAGCCATAGGCTGGGCTCCTCAAATCCCAGGTGCTCCTTGTGTGAGGGCCTGGAGAGGCCGGGCGGCCAGGCTGCGGGGAGCAGCACCCTGTGCACTGCCGCCCTCTTAGGGGACAGGACAGAGGAGCCTGGGGAGCTCCGGCTCTGTGGCCCTGGGTAGTGTCCCCACCCCCTGAGCTGTCACAGCAACGTAGCAGATGGGACACCTTGCCTGGGCCTCAGTAGGTCCCTGTTGCAGACACAGTCCCTCTGGGGCAGCAAGTCCTGGGTCTGAGGAGCCCACAGTCTGAACACCCCGCCACGCCTGGGAGCGCGGGAGGGGCCTGCTCCTCTCGGACTCCCAGCACACACCCCACCGGCCTGCGCTGGGGCCCGTGGGCTCCCCAGGCACCTGGGAAGCAGTAAGCCACGCCCCTCCTCCACCGTCGTGTAAGGCTCTGACAGGGGCTGCGTCCAGGGCCAGCCGTGGCCCTGGGCTCTGGAAACTGGCCTGAGCGCAAATGCAGGCTGCAGGCACGCGCACGCAGTCACTGGGAGTCGCCAGCCCTGCTGCTGGAGTGCGGGTTTCCAGGAGGGGACTGGAGCGCACTTCCGCCTCCCATCACCGGAACTTGGGAAGCAGTTAGTGCAGGAAGCCGAGGTGTTTCCTTCCTTTCTCACCAGCCCTCCGGATGCCTGGACGACGTGGGCCTGGCCCGTGGGGACCGCAGCTTCTAGGGCGGTGGGAAGGAGACCCCAGCAGGCAGGTGCACACACCTTCCCACACTGAGACCCCCAGGGAACGGCTGAGGGGCCCAGCCTGCCCCCTGAGGCCGAGGGATCCAAGTCCCTCCCCACAACCAAGCAGCTCGGCCTCCTTCCCGACCACTGTCCTCCCTGGCGGAAGGTGGCCCAGAGCCCCAGGCATGGAGCTGGTGGCTTTGGGGAGGGAAGACTCGGTGTTTGGTCCTGAAATCAGAGCTGGGTGACTGGATTCACCCCATCCCCAAGAATCACCCAGGCTCCCAGCCCTGAGAAGACCTAGGAGCCGGCAGGAGGGGTTTCTCCACGGCCAGCCGGCTCTCGAAGGGCCGATGGGCGCCGAACTCTCAGCGGCCTCTCCAGGCAAGGCTGCTGCTGGGAGCGCGCCCAGCAGCCTCCACCTGGACGCGTGAAGCTGCCTGAGACCGTCCCAGGCAGATCCGTTCTGTGAGCCAGTGTGATGGTGACTGCCATGCATCCAGATGGGAGACGCCGGGCGAATGCGGGTGAGCCCTCCTCACCCTCCCGGTCCACCATGTACTCAACCAACCTGGTGCGTCAGGGAGGTGGGGCCGCCGCGGTGGGTAGGCACCTGGGGTGGGCTGCCTCTGAGCACTGCGCTCTCAGGCTCCAGCATGAGCTCTGGAGCCACACTCAGACGCTGCTCGCTCCCCCTCGCTGTGTGGCCTTGTCAAGCTGCTCAGCCTCTCTGAGCCTCAGGCTCTGAGGGGGTCAACTGAGATAACACTTGGCGAGGTGCCCAGAGACCTCTAGTAAATGGCACCTGCTGCTCTGCTGGGTGGCGATGAGGCTCTGGGGCTACCGCAGACCCGGGGCCCTGCAGGCCCACCGCCTTGTCAGCAGGAGCGGCCCGGACCCTGGACAAGGAGAACGTTGGAAGACGGTGTCGGAAGACGGTGTCGGGGGCCCAAGTCGCAAGACCACCCCTCCCCTCCCCTCCCCGGGCACCGAGGCAGAGCTCCCCACATGCCCCTGCCCCTCTGTGCTCTGGAGAGCAGGGTCCCCCTGCTCACGCTGGGCAATCGGGGTGGGCCCCGGGGACTCAGATCAAATCCCGTCCCCAGGAGCGTCTGTCCTCTATGGCTAGGCCGGGCCAGCCTTGCTGGGGCTCAGCTTTCAGAATTGATTTCTTTCGAAGAACAGAAGCCATGGCTGGGCCAGCTGGAACTGTCCAGGACCACTCTCCCTCAGCGCCCCATGCTGAGTGATTGACGGCAGGAGCTGCTCCCTCACTGTCCAAGGCCCGTTCCCTGCCGTGGTGCAGACAGGGAATCCCTGTCATTCTTAAGCGGACCCTGGAGCTTCCAGTCCAGGCTGCCTGGCGGCGGCCCCTGGAAAGAGAGCCTAGTTAAGCTTCACAGCCGGCCCAGCACAGAGCCGATATCAGCCCATTTCACAGATGGGGAAGAGGGGCCCTGCTCTGGCTGAGCTGGGACTCAGGACCTGCACCGTGACCTCTGCCAAGACCCAGGCCCTCTTACCGTCCAACAGGGTCCCTGCTGGTGTCCTCGGCCTCTGTGCTCCAGACCCCAGGCAGCCTGGAGCTGTGTGGGTCAGAGAACCCAGTACCAGGGGCCTGAGCCCAGGCCCCCAGCAGCTCCCAGGCTAGGGGCCCCCCAAGGCCAAGCAGCAGCATCAGGATCATCTTGGTGGTGGGACAGGCTTAGGCTTGGCTCAGCAAGTGACTCCAGAAACTGCCAGTGACGTTGGTTTCAAGTTAAATCTCAGAAGGAAAAAAAAACACAGGGACAACAAAGAGAGGAAGTGGCCTGGGCCGGCCCACCCGGTGGGTCTCATCCGGCCCCCGCCCCCCCTGGCCTGCTCCCCACAGGAGCCACCAACCACACAGGCCGTTCCCTGTACCCCAAGAGGACTTGGTTCAGGGGCACTGGCGCTGTGGAGACACAAGGGGTGGCCCCACCAAGCGGGGCCCCATGGGAACCTGCTCCCTGGGAGCCAGGAGGAGCGCATAAGCCTCAAGGTGGGGCTGCAGGAAGCGGTCGGTTGGTCTGGGGGACCTGCTGCCCATCCACACTGCTGGCCAGGAAGTGGGGGGCACGTCGTGCCTCATCAGCATCTTTCTCGGCTGGGCTGTGGGAGCCAGCTGGTGGGTGGAGGCTCAGAGAAGGAAAGAAGCTATTCTGGGGTCACACAGCATGCAGCCAGGGGCCAGGGCATGGGGAAGCCCTTCATGTGCCCCTCCCAGCTCCTCCAGCTGGTTCTGCAGAGCCTGGCCAGGGGTGTCCAGGATGCTGGTGGGTAGCTGGTCAGCCCAGACCGGTCTGGGAGGTTGGCCTCTCTCATCTGACAGCCTGCATGGCCTGACCCCTGCCCCACCTGGGACGTGGGGCCACCAGCCAAGGTCCCCCCCTCTGTGCCTGTCTCTCCAGGTATAGCGCAGACACAGCGGCCCCCACCCGAGAGCACCCAGGCAGGGCCCACGCCGTGGGTGGGCAGGGCAGCGAATGAATGAGGGGCAGGAGGGGTTAAGAGGTGTCCACCCCCTGCGCCCCTTCCTGGAGGGCTGGGGCAGGAGGGCAGGGCTGAGCCAGCAGGGTCTCCTGCTGCCCCACCCTGGGAGAAGGTGTGGGCAGGCCTCCCTCCTCCCTCCCTCCCCGCACCCCGGGCTGGCTGGGCTCCAGCTGGCCTCCGCATCAATATTTCATCGCGTCAATAGGAGGCAGCGGCGGGGACAGCCACTGCAGCAGCACTCGCGCCTGCTCCCGCCCGCAGCTCACAGGGAGACTCCGGCTCCCGTCCTGCCCGCAGCAGCCGAGCCCAGCCCTGCCACCACCATGGATGTCTTCAAAAAGGGCTTCTCCATCGCCAAGGAGGGCGTGGTGGGTGCCGTGGAGAAGACCAAGCAGGGGGTGACAGAGGCAGCCGAGAAGACCAAGGAGGGGGTCATGTATGTGGGTGAGTGGGGTCGCAGCAGGGCGTGGCTGCATGGTGGCCTGAGGGTGGGGTGCCCAATTACCTTGGCCTGACCTTACTCCCAACCCCGAGGAGGCATTTTGGGAGGGGGTGAGGCCCTGGCTGCCAAGGCAAGGTCTCTAAGTCCCGGAGCATCCACAGTGGCGGGGACAGAACAGCAAGAGGGACACTCAGATGGCAGACACGGCTGGCCACCTGTCCGTGCACACACAAAGGCATGGCCAGACACACTGGGCTCCCTGGGGCAGGAGCCCCGAAGCACCCTGGTGCTCAGGTGGGCTCTCGCCCTCGCCACACGGAGCTGCTACAGCCAGCAGCCAGGCCACAGTCCCCACACTGCCCAGAGGGACAGGCTGGGCTGGGCTGGAGAGAGGAGACCTGGCTCAGTGTCCGCCCCGCCCCATGGCCCTGTGGCTCCCTCCAGAGAGGAGAAAGGGGAGGCTGATGACTCAGCGCTTGGCCACCCTGTCCTGCTGCTGCTTCCGAGGCCCGGGCCACACCCCGACAGGGTCTAGACCCTGAGTACAACCAGTGTCCCCCTCAGGCCTGGTCTCTCTTGTCCCCCACCCTGTCTTGTCCCCTTCCCATCCATCCACTTCCTCCAGACACAGCAGGAAGTGGCCCTTTGAAGGGGCTGCTGCCGCCAGACACCTTCCTCACCCCCTACTGACCCCACACCAGGCCAGCTGTCAGCTGCTCTGTGGTGTGTTTGCCCTGACACCAGTACCAGAGGGGGGCCCGGGCTGATGCCTCCACTTCCTCCCCAGGAGCCAAGACCAAGGAGGGTGTCGTGAACAGCGTGACCTCAGGTGAGAAGCCCCAGCGCGGGGAACGTGGGGGCTGGGTCCCCCGGGACTTCTGTGCCCTAGTACTGAGGGCCCAAGCCCAGGGACCCCCCGCCCCCCAGCTGGACTCCCAAGCCCTCCATGGACCCAGACCCCCAGGCTAGTCTGGGGTGGGCCTGCCCTTCCCCCCACCAGCCTGCCCTGGAGTCAGAAAGGGGCAGCCGAGGGACCCAGAAGAGCCAGGGCTCTGAGTGCCTGGGAAGGGGCTGTGCGGCCTGACCTGCAGGGGCCAGCCCGCCGGGGAGGGGTCAGGGCCGAGACCAGCCAGAGTTCCCCACAGTGGCTGAGAAGACCAAGGAGCAGGCCAACGCCGTGAGTGAGGCTGTGGTCACCAGCGTCAACACCGTGGCCGCCAAGACGGTGGAGGAGGCGGAGAACATCGCGGTCACTTCTGGGGTGGTGCGCAAGGTGAGCCCCAGCCCTCGACCAGCCGTCCGTCCTCGGCCCGGGAGGCCGGCGGGGAGGAGGCTTTGTACCCTGCCTGGGACACACAGGGAAATAGACGGAAGCTTCCGTGTCAACACCCGCTGCGTGCGGGCCGGAGGGGTCTGCACTCGGTGGTTCACGCCCATTTGCAGCTGGACTCCCACGCTGCCTCCACTGTGAGGCCGGTCGCGGCCCGTTTCACACACAAGGAAAGCGAGGCTCAACCCCACACCCTCTGTATGGCTCCCAGCATTTAGGAGATACCACATTTTGTAAGTGAAAACAGGGCCTCATGCGGTGACAGGCAGCCTCCCGGGCAGTGGACAGGAGGTCAGAGCTGCCAAGTCACCACCTGCCCCCAGGTCCAGCTTCCCTCCCCTGGCCTGGCTCCCGGGAGCAGCAGGGAAGCGGCGCCCCCTGGTGGTGGGAAGGCAGTGCGGCCTGACCCCACCCTCTGCGGCCTCCTTTGTGTGTGAGTGGGCGTGTGCACGTGCTGTGTGTCTGTGTGTGTGTGTGTGTGTGTGTATGGGTGCATTGTGTGTGTGTGTATGGGTGCATTGTGTGTGTGTGTACGGGTGCATTGTGTGTACAGGTACATTGTGTGTGTGTGTGTATGGGTGCATTGTGTGTGTGTGTGTGTGTGTGTATGGGTGCATTGTGTGTACAGGTACATTGTGTGTGTGTGTGTGTATGGGTGCATTGTGTGTGTGTGTGTGTGTGTGTGTGTGTACGGGTGCTTTGTGCGCGTGCATGCTTCCCCCGGCAGCAGAGAGTGGAGGAGCAGTGGCACGCCCCCCGGGGTGGGTGTTGGCCAGGTGAGCTGTTCCAGCACCTATCACAGGGCAGGCTCCGCTTTAAGCATTTTACGGTTATTAGCTCATTTAGTCGGCACAAAATCCCATGAGACAGGGTGTGGAAGCTAAGGCCCAGAGAGATTAAGTAATGTGCCCCGGGTCCCATGGCTAGTCCACGTGAGCTTGGATTCCCCACTGGGGCCTGGGCCTGAGAGACTCTAGCAGTGCAGGTGGTGGTGGGGTGGGGGACTGAGATTCCAACCTGGGGTGGGGAAAGTGGGATGGGGGTGGGGTGACAGGTGCTGTTTCCAGCTCCCCAACCTGCTACAGGCCCAGGCCCCTGGGCAGTGGAGTCCGAGGCTCCCAGCACTGAGAACCTGAGAGTGGGTGGGTGGAAGAGTAGAGGCCACCCTGCCCCTGGCTCTGGGGTAGCACCCAAGTGTCTGTTTCCTGGGCCAGCATAGGGTCTCCACATCCTAGAAGCCTGCAGCTGCTCCCTGTCCTAGTCCCCACTCTGCCCCTTCCTAGCTGTGTGACCTTGGGAAGCCAAGTAACCTCTCTGGGTCTCCTCTACCTGATCTGTAAAACAAGGGCAAAAGTGTCTCACTGGGCTGTGTGATGAGGCAGGGATGGGACCCCGTGAACAGGTCTGCCTGGTTCTTGGTGAGAACCCAACAAATGAAGGTGACTGTGTCATCATCAGTGCTTGGGCAGAACCCATGACATGCCCTGGGAGACCCCTCCCTGCCCACCGCCAGCAAGAGGCCCTGGGGTGGGGATGTCCGGGCCCTCCTCAAAGAGCCTGGAGGAAGGCTGGTGAGCCCCGCCAGCTGCCCCACGGGAGACTCATTTCCTGGTGACACCCCAAACCCAGGCATGACTCACCCCCAGGGGACCGTAGAAGGATGCAGCCGACTGTGCATTCCATTGGTGTCATCACCACCCTTGGGCAGCAGGACTAGGCAGGTGACCACCTGCCCTTCCCCTAGAGAGCCTGGCCAGCCCTGCAGTTCTGCCCGTCCATGCCCCACTCCAACAAGGGGCAGGACAGTCCTGTGGCAGCACAGAGGGGGCAGGACCTCCAGAGGTAGGTGCGGAGACCAGTGTCCAGGCTGATCACCAGCTGTCATGACCACTCGGGCAAGTGTCTGGCTGGCCTGGAGTGTAGGGGGACAGAAGAAATGGAAACTGGAGGAGGACTATGTGACCCTTGCCAGCCCTGACCAGCCTGCACCCGGAGCCCATCCAGGAGGCAGGCAGAGGGACCCATGCTACTGGGGATCTGAGCGGCCTGAGCAAGCCTGAGCTGAGGCCAACGAGCCCCGCTCCTTTGAGCTCTGAGGCCTTGGGCTGGATGCCTAGCTCCACTGGCCTCAGGGTCCCTGTGTGAGCACGGAGGACACACCCATTGCCCTAGGGCTGGTTCGGGGCTCAGCAGAGCAAGTGTGTGTTCATGTGCGTAGGGTCAGGCCTGGGGCTTCAGGGGCCGCTGCCCGCACCCCCACCTCAGCCCACCCCGCCTGGCTTGTCGCCAAGGAAGCCCAACCAGGGGCGGCCCGGAGATAGGGATCAGCTTGGGGGGGATGCCAGAAGGCCTTGGGGTGTCAGACAGAGCCCCAGCTGCAGTCCGGCCACACCCCTCCCGCACTCCCGCCCCTCCAGCCCCACTGCGCACCTTTGAGGCCAGGGTGGATGAGCCCTGGTGGCAGGGCAGCTGCAGGTCCCTGTGTTCTCCACATGGCCTCATGTCCCCTTTGCTCCCCTACAGGATGACTTGAAGCAACCTGCCCCCCCACAGGAGGATGAGGCAGACAGAGAGGAAGAGGAAGTGGCAGAGGAGGTAGGACGTGGGTCTGGGGTACACCACAGCGGGCTCCTGGGCAGGGTCCCCATCCCCCACAGACTCGCCGCTGCCCTCTCAGGGTCTGTGGGGCCCCCTGACCTCCTGCGGCCCCCACAGGGACCGTGGGCAGGGACAATCCTGGACCTGAGTGTGAGATCCCTCCATGAATGACCCCTCAGGCAGGGGGCACAGGTGACAACCTTCCCCGGGACACTCAGGGTGGCCAGTAAGGGTCAGGGGTCTGGAGCTGTGTGTGAGTGTCATTCTCTCTTCCAGGCCAAGAGTGGGGGAGACTAGAGGGCTGCGAGCTAGCTCTGAGGACCAAGGACACTCCTCTGCTCTGGACCCCGGCACACGGAGTGCCGGCCCTGGCGTGTGACCTGCAGCTGCCCACACTCCCTGCGCCTCGCCTGTCCGCCCAGGCTGCCGAGCCGCCGCACCGCCCTCTCTCGGCCCTTCCTGCCCTCTCGTTCTTCCGGCCCCACAGATGCTGCTGTGAATTTATTTATTTTGTGTGTGTGTGACTCCAAATAAAACTTGAGCCCTACCGCTGGCCATGCTTGCTCTCTGCATAGTTCATGGAGAGGCCCCTTGGGCCCTCCGAAGAACTGGAACTGGTTCAGCCTGTTGATGGGACCGGGTACCCTCCAGGGACACACTGGGCACTTCTGGAACCTATGGGAGCTGGCACTGCCATCAGGAACACTCCCGCCCCAACTCACCCATCGCCTCCAACATGGAGTAGGTGGCCCTGCCTTCGCTGGGCCCCGCCCCTGTCCCTGACTACTGGCAGGACACAGCGTCCTGTCTGTCTGCAGGAGCTGCCTTAGCTCACCCTTGGGGCGCCCATCTGCCCGCTCTTCTCCCGGGAGCCCGCTGTCGGCAGTGAGGACCGGCTCCTGCGCCTTCCCACAGCGTGCGTCCACGGCTCCAGTGTCCTGCAGGGAACAGGGTCGCCTAACTCCCTCCCAGGAGCAGACAGGAACTTTGAAAGATGGTGAAGTCTACACCACAGTGAGATGAAGAGCACCCTTCCCAGCAGAGACACAGGTGACCCCAGGGCACCTCCTGCCTGGTCCCACTCAGCCTCAAGCTCCCTTCTGGAGTTGGAGCTGGAGTTTCCCTTCCTGCACAGCCTGTGGGGTGTCCTTAGAAACCGCAGCGTTCTGAGCACTTTACCTTATTTAATCTTCAGAACAAACCTATCAGGTAGCATTCGTATGATCCCACTTCTGCTGAGAAGCAGGGCACTGGGCACAAGCCCAGGAGACTTTGCTCCAGAGCTACCCGGTCGACCTCCAGCCACTGGGACAGCACAAGCTCCAGGGTGCTTGTGGCATGTCCTTCATACCCAAAGTGCCCAAACAACCCAAGGACTGGGCTGGTCAACGTCCTACTTGCAGGGCTGTTTGCGTCGTGCCCTGCAGTCTTGTTCAGAGTTGGCTGAGCAGAGACCCGGCTTCCCTGGGGACCCCACCTTCCCCTTTGACACCAGCCAGTTTGGGCTCAGAGCATCGGAGTGACCTGCCCCAGGCCTCCAGTGCCGGGTGTCCGGACCAGAGCACACATGTGACTCCAGACACGGCCCATCTGCACTGCCTCCCCAGCCAGCCTCTGCAGTGGGGAGCTGGGGTCAAGGCGCAGCCCCATCAAGCTCACTGAGCTGGGCTGTCCCCCGGTCGGCTGCCCCGGGCATCCACTGAGGAGGCAGAAAGGAGCAGGGGGCTGCTGGTCCCCTGCCCCACAAACCCTGCCGGGGCAGGAGTGAAGATGGGTCTGGAGGCAGCTCAGGGCAGTCAGGGGTGTTCCTGCTCCCCGGCCCAGACACGTGCACATAAGCAGCCTGTGCATGCCCCGGCAGCAGGCCGCCCGGCCCTGGGTGTGCCCGAAAGTTCTTTGGGCTGTGAGAGAAAGCAAGGAGGAGCAAGGCCAGCTCAGGTGACTGAGGGTGGGGGAGAGGGCACCTGCACCCGGCCGCTGGGGACAGCCTTCCACAGGCTCCCTCTGCCTCTGCTGAAGGAGACTAGAAGGGTCCCTGCTGCGCCCCCCCACACTCACACACACACTCACACACACACTCACACACACACACACTCACACACACACACATCACACACACACACACACACACACACCTCACACTCTCAGGGCCTACTGCTGGACTCAAATGACAAACATCCAGACCTGCCTGTTCCAGGAAGCCCCTTCCCCAGCCCAGTGCCTTTTGCCTTTAGCTCCTGTCGCGTGCTCTGGGCCCTGTGAGGCAGCGTCCCACTTTCCCAGAGAAGGCCAGTGCTTCCCTGCCCCATCCCAACACCCCGGATGCCTGCAACCACGACAGTCCCGAAGCCTATATATACTATGTTTCTCCTGTACATACACAGCCATGGTAACATTTAATTTATAAATCAGGCACAGTAAGAGATTAACAATAACTGGGGAATGAGGGGGGCACGGAGGGGAAAAAACAACAACAAAAAACAATAACCCGCTGATCTTAGGCCTGCAGCCTGGCTGCATCTGAGCTGGCCCAGCTGGGCTCGCCTCCCCTTTGATTATTTAAAAAGAGAAATTAAAAAAAAAGATTCACAATAACTAATAATAAAATGGAACAATTATAACAATATACTGTAATAAAAGTTATTTAAAACTTATGAATTGTTTATTTCTGGAATTTTCCATTTACTGCATCTGACCTTGGTTGACCTTGGTGTAGGGGCCAAGGGAAACTTCCTCTTTGCCCTCTGAAGTTTCACTGAAAAATAAACCCACAAAAGCATATTAGTGGGAGAAATAGCATACACATTTAATCTCGTGCATGGGGCGAAAATCAGAGTGGCCCCACCACCCAGTGGGGTGCAGAGGGTTGTATGGGAAAGGGGGTTGGGGAAGTGTGGATGATTTTCGGGGGATAGTATATGATTTTTAGGGAAATTCAATGGGCTTGCAGAACATACAGAGGCCTGGGACAAGTCTGTTGAGCCCTCAGAGCAGACAATGGTTTGTGACAAAAGTCTGTAGAGGTGTGTTGAGACTTCAGACTTTGTTCCTGTGGGAGTTCAGTTAGGGAAAACCCAGGGAAGGGACCAGAGGTGGTGGTTTTCCTCTCTGGCAGGTGCAGACTTTTGGCAGATAAGGGGACTACAGAGCATCACCCTGTGCTTTGGAAGACTAAGGACTGAGACATGGGGGAGGGGAGATGGTGAGAGACCTGAGGCTTCTTCAGGTCGCAAAGCACCATGTTTGTGGGTATTGGTTCCTAAGCACCAGCGGCAGGTAACTGAAACTCCAGAAAGTGAAAGTGCAGGTAAGGGGGACCACTGAAATGCCCCCTCTCCGTGTGTGGGACCCCCCCAGTGCTCCACCCCTCTTGCAAGGTCCTCTTGAGTGTTGGGCATACATTTAATCTTCAAAAAACGGATTGGGGGCTGGCGCGGTGGCTCACGCCTGTAATCCTAGCTCTCTGGGAGGCCGAGGCGGGCGGATCGTTTGAGTTCAGGAGTTTGAAACCAGCCTGAGCAAGAGCGAGACCTCGTCTCTACTCTAAATAGAAAGAAATTAATTGGCCAACTAATATATATAGAAAAAATTAGCCGGGCATGGTGGCGCATGCCTGTAGTCCCAGCTACTCGGGAGGCTGAGGCAGGAGGATCGCTTGAGCCCAGGAGTTTGAGGTTGCTGTGAGCTAGGCTGACGCCACGGCACTCACTCTAGCCTGGGCAACAAAGTGAGACTCTGTCTCAAAAAAAAAAAAAGAAAAAACCGCATTGGGGAAATTCTGTTATGAGGCTCTGACAGATGAAGGGACTTGCCTCGGGGGTATTTGAACCTAGTGACTCCATGACCTGCTGTCCGAGGGCCGCGCTGAGCTGTCTCCGCCACCGCCTGCTGGGCGTCGGCTGTCTCCCACAGAGGCTGCTGCTGGTCTGTCTGCTCAGCGCCCACTGGGCTGGTTCTAATAGCATCAGCGGCTGTGCGATTAACCAGAGCAGTCAAGGCCTTCCTGGCTACAGGGACGGGCCTGAGGGACTTGAGGAGGGCTGGCAGGGCTGAGACAGAGACTGGGCTGGGCTCCCTGGTCCCCCCTGGCAGCGAGCAGGCCGCTCCCCGCTGTGCCACTGCACCCAGGGCAGGGCCAGGCTCTGGGCCAGGAGGGGCGGGGGCTGGGCGGGCCATTGCGCTGCTTTGTTGTCTGCGACTGTGCTCCCCCCTTCCTCCACTAATCCCATCGCCTGCCTCTCCCGCTTGCTCAGGGTTACCCTCTTCTCCATTAACCCACCCCAGACGCCCCACACCAGGGGCCGACCCTCCACCACTAAAGGCAGGGAACCAGCAGGTCTGAGTGGTGCCGAGGGGGCGGGACGCGGCTTCCTGGAGCTTCAGAATAGGGGAGCCTCCAGCAGAGGTGCAACAAACAGACCCCGAGGGGAAGAGTTAGATCCAGAGAGGCAGAGAGGGGGTGCCGCGGGCTCCAGGCTCCAAAGGCCGAGGACGCGAGTGGGACAGCGCTGGGCAGTGAGAGGCCTGACCTGCACCTCTTGTGTGTGTGGTGGGGGGGTAGGGGGTTGTGCCTGGCAGGTTGTTTTGCTGCCCTGGAGATCCCTGACCCCTCCAAGCTCAGGTTCCTAACTCCCCTCCTGGCCCCTCAGATCGTCCTTTATCCTCATGCATCCCGGCAGAGCCAAGGCGCACTCTTGCCCTCTCTGAGCCGTGTTTCCTGCGCAACTGGTCAGGCTTTGGTGACCGATGGCAATCTCCTTGCTCAGGCCAGGCACGCGAGGACCGTGCTCTCCCCGTCCACTTGGGGTTGCATCGTCCGCAGGTGCACACGCAGGTGCCTCGCCCTCTGGGGATAGACTTTACCCGACCCTGCCCTGTACGCATGAGCTGGGTCCCCGGGGCCACTGGGCAGGTGTCCAGTCCGCAGTGCCCGGACCCGGTGTCGCGCTGGCCGGCGCGGCTGTTGCCAGGGCCCTAGAGTTTGCAGCCCACCTACGGGGATTCGAGTCCCTGCCGAAAGAGTTTGGGTGAGACCTAACTCGCCCTCTCTCTGCTTCAGTTTCCGCCTATAAGCTGATGCTATTAATAGAAACACCCATTTCATGAGGTGGCTGCAAAGATTACACAAGAGACTGCAGAGCGCTAGGGTAGCACCTGGCACAAGAGAAATGCTCAATAAAAGGCAGCTGCTGTTATTAATGTCAGCTCCAGCCTTGAGCTCCTGACCTGGCGCTGACCCCGCTCACCGGTTGGGGGATGCCCACGATGGCAGACGGAGGAGCGGGGAGGTGTGTGCGCCCCTCTCCTGCCCAGCTCCTCTTCGGATCCCACTCTGAACCCAGACCCAGGCCCCCTGCAGTTCTTAGCCCCTTTTCGGACCTGGCTTCGAACTGTCCCTTTCCAACCGCGGCCAGCCTGAGGCCAGGATGTGCTCCCGGGCTGGCGGAGCCTGGAGCAGGGCCCGGTCACTCCCCTGCCTGTCGGGCGGGAGCCGCCCCGCGCCTCCTCCCTCCTGCGGGGCGGGCCGGCCCCCGGGCGCCTTAAAAACCGGAGCTGGCGCTGGCCACCGCCGCTCTGGGCAGGATCCAGCGTTGCTGCAACTGCCCTCGTCGACCCCGCAGACCCCGAGCAGCCATGGCCAGCAAGAGCTTGCAGGACCTGAAGCAACAGGTGGAGGAGACGGCCCAGGAAGCGGGTGAGGACTGCGCGCCACCTGGGGCACAGGCGGGGGCTCGCGGGCAGAAGCCGCGGGTCTAGGCAGCCCGCAAGTCCGCACACCCGAGGCTCAGGCCCGAGAGGGCCTGCCCTGGGACGCGGGGGCGGGCAGCGGAGGGACGGAGCCCTGAGCGAGGTTTGAGAACTGCAGTGACGGAGGAGCCCGAGCCCATCCGAGCAGGCGGCGCGGGCGGGGAGTGCCCCACCCAGCCCGCAGGCGAGGATGAAGGTCCGCGGAGAGAGCGCCGCCCCGACCTCCGCCTGCCGCCTGCCGGGGTTTTCGCCCAGGGACCGGATGGGGTAGGGAGGCTGCTCCAGACCCCACGGGGATTTGTTTCTACGCTTCCTCCTTACTTTAAGTTCTCACCTGGCAGGGCAGGTCCCAGCCTTAGTCCCTCCACCTCCAGGCGGTCTCCTCCTTATTCCTGAGGCTACACATTCCCGGGGCTGGGGGTTGACTCTTCCAGCATCTAGCCCAGACTTCCTTGGGACTCCAGCTCTCAATCCTCCTCCCCATATCCCAGTCGAGAGACACTGTCCTAATCAACCCTTTCCTTCATCAGTGCCCCAGGGAAAGCCCACAATTCTTCCGGTGAGACTACTATGCCACCAAGGAAGACTCTGCCTGTAGGACTCTTCCTTCCAGACTTTACTTTCCCCATCTGTAAGCTGGGTGCAAAGACTCCTCTGTGGCTTTCTGATGGGTCATGTCAGACCCTGTGAGCACACCCAGGACCTGCCTAGCCCTCTCCCAAGGATGGGCTCTGGGTAAGGCAAGCTCTTTCCCATCTAGCAGCAAGGATGGATCAGATCTCTGCAGGCCGCAGCCACCTGTCAGCCCACCCAGCAGGCTGACCCACCTGGAAAACCTCGTTCACCACAGGCAGAAACCCTGGTCCAGAGCAGACAGTCTGACCTTGGAAGTTTCAGCTCCTTCCTGCACTTGGTCTCCTAATGCCTTAAGCTGCCTATCCAAGAAGACACTGGCATTTGTAGCTTTTGTGCTCTCTAGGGCGGGCCTCAGGAGGGAGGAGCTGGTGAGAGAGCGTGGCAAAAGCAGAGGCCCCAGGGCCAAGTGCACTGAAGATGGGGATTCAGGCATCTGGGCCAGGCTTCTAGGGGAGAAGTTGTTAAAGGGGGTCTTCCTCGCAAAGCCCAGCAGCAGCCACAGCCCAGAAGCCAGCTGCAGCCTGGCCCTGCCCCACCTTCCTTCCTCTGTTCCAACCATTTCTCAGCAAGCCTGGGGAGGGGAAGGGAAACAGGCCAGAGGGGAGGGGCCCAGCATTATAAATAAACAAGAACTCTTCAGAGGCATGGAAAGGGCTCATACCCTTTGCTAGCTGGGTGGCCTTGGGTAAGGGACTTCACCTCACCGGCATCCACCCCTTGGGCCTATAGGACAAACTACTCTAAAGAATGCATAGGGGGTGCAGCAATGGTGGGAACCCTGTGGTCAGCGCCTCAACGGGAGCTCAAGGTCACATCTCTCTGTTACAGTGACAACAGCTGGAGCAAAAGTTCAGCAAGTGGTGGATCAGGCCACAGAGGCCGGGCAGCAAGGTCTGGTGGGGCTGAACCGCAGGGAGGGTGGGCAGATCCAACACACCCCCAGCCCAGGCACAGCCTCTCCTCCACAGGCCCCTCTGCCCACAGTGCCCCAAGGCAGGCTTCCCGGGGAGAGACCCTGGCTAAGCTAACCCCCACGGGCACCCTGACCACTCCTCTCCCTCCCCAGCCATGGACCAGCTGGCCAGCTCCACCCAGGACACCATCGACAAGACTGCGAAGCAGGCCTCTGACACCTACTCAGGTTTCGCGAAAAAATTCGGCCTCATGAAATGACAGCGGGAGACAGGGTGACGCCACTGCAGGCCCTCTGCAGCGGAGCCTGGCCCCAAGCTCTGGTCACGAGCTGCCTTCTTGGTCTGCCCCCACATTAAAATTCATGCTCCACCCTGCGTCCACTTCATGCTTCCTCGGACATCGGGCCCAGTGCTCCCCCGCCAAGAGCAGAGCTCCCATATCCACAGTCCAGGCCCCCAAATTCGGAAACCCAGACCGACTGTTTAAGGAACCCGGTTCCCGCCCCTCAATGGCTCCTCCCGCAGCCCAACCTCCATCTAGGTACGAGCTCCTCCCAGCCCCCGCCCCTGACTCCAAAGCCACACCCCCTGCTCCAGGGCCCGGCCCTACTCCGTCCCCAAATCCTCGAGGGGCTCAGCTCTGGGCGGGGGATGGGGGGGTGCCGCAGGGGCTCTGGGAACTTCTTCCCACGTCTGCGCCAGTGCCGCCGTCACCAACGACCTCAGGCGGCGGGAGGTTGCGGGAGCGACATGGAGTCGCAGTAGCCCGGCTTCCGGGCCTCGCTCCCCCAACCCGGCCCGCAGCACGTCTACGCGGCCCCCAACCTGCATCAGTCCCCGGCTGCCTTGTACGGTCGGGCGCGGCCCTGCCCTCTGGGGAGGGGCTCCGTCGCACGGGGCGGCGCCGGGACTGGGCCGTGCGCGCGCGTGAGCACGAGCCTCCGCCCTAAGTGCCCCTTCCCTGGAGCCTGACCGGTAGCCTCAGGCCCGAACGCGGGTCCGCGAAGGACGGGTTCCAGCAAGCCGAGCTCCCTCCCACCCCGGCACGTGTCCACGCACGCGACTCCAGTCTTGGGTGCGCCCCGCTGATGGGTGACTCACCGTTCCCACAGGATGAGGCCCAGCCCGGGCGCCGGCGCTGCCCCTGCATCCCCCACCCCCGCCCCTGGCGGCCACGCCCGGGTCCTCTCCCCAGCTCCGCGCCTCGCGCGGTTCCCCTCCGCCTACGGTCCGCTCTTCTCCCGAGCGCACTGGAGACTTCCCTTCTCAACTCAAAAATACTGACTCCGCGGCATTTCTCAGTTCTGGGAAGATTTAAGGGACAGAGCGGTTCGAAAGCCGGTTCCAGGCCGGCTCTCCAGGCCTCCCGGGCCTGCCTGCAGGCGGCAGTGTCCCCAAGGCCGCTCCCAGCCCAGGCCTCGCGGGGCGCACGCCCTGAGGTCTCTCCCGTGGGCGGGGCACAGGCCCCACCCTCACCCGGGGCGCGCCCGGCCCGCGCTCAGCTCTTTGTTGTCGCTGACTGCGCCCAAAAGAAGGTCTCCCCAAGTCTGCAAAATGAGCCAAGGCTGCTCCTGGGGCTCCAAGAGGAGGTCCTGGGAGAGACACCGGGGCAGGGCGGGAGCGCTTCCAGTGTCTCTGGGAGCCCTTGTATCCGGGCGCCGGGGTCGCGAGAGCCGGCCTCGGGGCCGCCCGGGGAGGCCGGTGGGGCCGAGCTGGCAGAGCCCCAAGGTCTCCGTGGTCAGCGTCCTTCCGCTGCGTGACTCAGGGATAGGGATAGCCCGGAGGTGGGGGACCTCACTTGTTCTCCCTGGGAGTGATTGCCTTAGGGATGGGGTGTGACCCAGACCGGGCCAAGGAGAGGAGAGGTCAGGTTTGAGGGCCTGGGGCCTTCTAGGAAAGGTTTTTCTCGCCTTGAAAAAAAAAGACAAGCATCCTTTGTCTTCCTCTGGACATTTTTTCTTTTTTTTTTTTTTGAGACAGTCTCACTCTGTTGCCAGGGCTAGAGTGCCGTGGTATCACTAGCTCACAGCAACCTCAAACTCCTGGGCTCAAGCAATCCTTCTGCCTCAGCCTCCCAGGTAGCTGGGACTACAGGCATGCACCACCATGTCCGGCTAATTTTTTCTAGATATTTTTAGTTGGCCAATTAATTTCTTTTGTGAACTAAAACGCTCACACCCCCCTCCCCCGCACCGGCTGACTGAATGGACCCCCTCGTGGCCAAAGGAATATCCTAAAGCAAAATTGCTTGCCAGGAGGAGGGAGGTCAGACGGGTATGCAAGACAAACCCGAAGGTCATCAATTTAGGAAACAATTGAGGTGGCTTCTCTCTGGTAAACAGTTTACGTTAAAACATTGCAAGCCTTTAGACAAAGCTTCATGTCTTTAGCCAATTACTATCCAAAGAATCTTTAAACCTATAAGCCCCCCCCTTCGAGATGGCCCACCTTTTTTGGGCCAAACCAATGTATGCCTCCCACATATTGACTGATGGCCTTACCCGTGACCTCTGTCTCTGAAATGTATAAAAACCAAACTGCAACCCAGCCACAGCGAGTCCACTTGCCCAAGGCCTCTTGGCAGTGGCTCCGGGTCATGGTCCTCAAATTTGTCTCAGAATAAATCTCTTTAAAATTATTTTGCCGAGTTTGGCTTTTTTCCGTTGACACTTTCTATTGTAGAGATGGGGTCTTGCTCTTGCTCAGGCTGGTTTTGAGCTCCTGACCCTGAGCGATCCTCCCACCTCGGCCTCCCAGAGTGCTAGGATTACAGGCGTGAGCCACCGTGGCCCAGCCTCACCTGGACATCTTGAGGCTAGACAGGATCCCTGGTACTGTAGCAGCCACGTACAGCCAAAGGAGGGACAAGCCTATGGAAGACCTAGCTTGCAGATTAAGGACAGAGAGGGTTAGAGAAAGAGCCAGTCTTAGCCAGCCTCCTCTTGCCAGGATGCCCCTGAGTGCCCTCCCTCTGTGCCTCAGCCACGTGGCCCTTTATTCATCTCCCTTCCCATCATGCCCCTGCTGTCTTCACATCTGCATCTGCACCTGGAATGCTCTGCAGAAACCTCCCTGGCCTAGCTGGCTCCACTCTTCCAGCCTTCAGGCCTCAGCTGCCTTGAGTGCAAGTGTACACACACACCACACACACACACACACACACACACACACACACACACACACTCACACACTTGGAATGGGCCAGGCCACTGGCAACACATTCTCACATCCCTTGTATTTCTTTTTCACAGTCACAATCAATTAATCCATTATTTCCCCATGTGTTTCTATGGTTGTTCATGGGGCTGCAGCCACGTCCCTTCTACCAATTAGTGCATGCCCAGTGCCTAGCACAGTGCTCAGGCAGCACCGCTAAGTGAATACATTAATGCCTGTCCTCTCGTCCTCCTACTGGACAGTAAATCCTCACATTTTCAGGCTCACATGGAGCCATCTCTTCAATGCAGCCCGTTCTGAGCTGTCTCCAGCTCTGTGGAGTGGTGCTCCTGTGGCCCCGTGCACGTGCCTGTCCCTGTCCCTGTCCCTGTGTGCCTCTATTCCACTGTAAGCCCTGGAGCACAGGGCCAGGTGGGACTTGTCTTTTGTTCATGTCTGGGACACAGAGGGTACAGTGCCAGGGAAGCCCATGGGAGCCTATATGTGCCCAGGCCTGTCCCCACTGAGGTTCTTGAGCTTGGTTGAGCCCAGACTGGCTGAGGAGGAGAGGGCTGTGGCCACTAGACCTGGCTGGATCTCAGTCAGGTCTTCAGAGATCCAGTGTTCCATTACCAGTCCCCCAAATAATTCCTAATTCTCCCAATCCCAGTTCCCCGTCTAGCCAGACACAAAGTCACTAACATTTCATTGTGAGAAGAGAACATTTCCTTGAATAAATCTCTCTGGACAGCGTTCTTTCCTCCCTCCTTTCCTCACTGCCCATTTTCAGGCAATAGGATAAGCTTTTCCTGTATTTATCTCTGTCAATAGAAAAAAAGCCAAACTCTGTAAAATAATTAAAGAAGTTTGTTCTGAGCCAAGTTCAAGGACCATGGCCTACAGCCATGCCAAGAAGCCTTGAGCAAGTGGTCTCACAGTGGTTGGGTTACAGTCTGGTTTACACATTTCATGGAGACAGGAATTACACATAAAGTCATAAATCAATACATGGAAAGTGTACATTGGGCCGGGCGCGGTGGCTCACGCCTGTAATCCTAGCACTCTGGGAGGCCGAGGCGGGTGGATTGCTCGAGGTCAGGAGTTCGAAACCAGCCTGAGCAAGAGCAAGAGCCCATCTCTACTATAAATAGAAAGAAATTAATTGGCCAACTAATATATATAGAAAAAATTAGCTGGGCATGGCGGCGCATGCCTGCAGTCCCAGCTACTCGGGAGGCTGAGGCAGGAGGATTGCTTGAGCCCAGGAGTTTGAGGTTGCTGTGAGCTAGGCTGATGCCATGGCACTCACTCTAGCCTGAGCAACAAAGGGAGACTCTGTCTCAAAAAAAAAAAGAAAGAAAGAAAAGAAAAGAAAGTTTACATTGGTTTGGCACAAAAAGGTGGGACATCTTGAAGCAGGGTTAGGGGTGCAGATGAGTTATAGGTCATAAATGAGTTTAAAGATTCTTTGATCTGTAATTGGTTAAGGAAGTAAAGTTTTGTCTAAAGGCTTGGAATGTTTTAAGTTAAGGAAGTCTGCTAATCAGAGACAAGCCACCGGACATGTACCCAGACTCAAGTGATCTGTTTAAGTAAATTGAGGACCTGCAGGTGTGGTTTAAGGCTTTGTCTTGTGTAGCATCCTTAGGCCTGTTAATGAGTTACAAAGGTTATCTCCAAGGAAGGGAGCATGATGAGGCAGGTCTCACCTCCCTTTTCAAGGCCAGCAACTCAGCTTTAGGGTATTTCTGG